CCCCCCCCCCCCCCAATAACTACTTCTACTCCAGGATACGAGCTTTTACTACTCTGACCAAAAACAAAAGTGTCTACACAAGGAGGTAATCGGGTATAACTGTATCATCTTAAATTTACATCCCACTATATGACTACCACTTTCATGAGTGGAGGATCACCCTACTACATGAGACAGAAAAAAAACAGCAGTACAGTGGCTGAAACAGGTTGATGGACTCAATCCCTAAGTCCTGCTATGGCAAATCCTGGCTAGAAGGCAGATTCTTTGCTAAATTGCTCCCCTACATCAGAGCCACAACTCTTGGCACTTCCCCAGCTCAGATGTTGAACCCTGGGCATGGACTCGGACGCAGGCTGACAGCCTCCCACCGGCAGGACCCGGGATAATTCACAGCCTCAGTTTCCTCCCCACTTGTAGGGCTAGGATAACACCACCCACCTATTAGCGTTTGCGCGACTCTTGCCAAGTGTCAGGTGCTCTCCAGCTGCCAATAAACTGTTTGATCGCAGGCTTCTGAGCTAGGAAAGCCTGGACTCGTTTCCCAAGGCTGCTCCAGCCACAGAGCAGACGGAGCAGGCTCTCGCTCAATTTCAGAGCCAATTCCCGGCTCCAGCGGTTCCCCCGCGGAGCGCTCTTCGGCCTCTCCCACTCCCGCCTCGACACCGCGGCGGAGACCGGAGACCAGAGCGGCGGGACTCCGCGAGGCGCAGAGGGAGCCGCTCGCCTCCCTCCCGGCGCTGTTCACCCCGCACGCAAGCCAGCGCCCAGCGGCAGGGACCGAGCAGCTGCGCGGCCGCCGCCCTGCCAGTGCCTCCCCCGGCAAGCGCCAGGCACCGCGGCGCGCACTTCCTAGCGACCCCCAGCCCTGCATCCCCCCTTCCCCCCGCGGGGCCAGAGCTGCACCTGGACGGACCCCGGCGAAGAGCGGGCGGCGTTACCTTGCCCGCTGCCCCCCAAACGCAGAGCGCTGCTGCTGCCAGGAGGAGCCCCCCCGAGCGGCGCGGGGAGAAACTTTTGCCCATGATCTCTGGCTCCGGGCGGGCGCCGCTGGGAGCGAGCGCGGGCTGGAGCAGCTGTTACTAATACCTACTCCCTCGAGCCGGGACCTCCCTCCTCCCCCCCCCCG